AACTGTCTAACTACTATTTGCAGCATTATAAGTTGTAAATTACTTGGGAAACATGCACATTACGTTATGCTATCAAATTACATTACCCACGAGCTGCTTGTGAGTTTGCATCATGAAAATTTTTTATTGTGTTATTATTATTATTTATTTTACCTAATCTAACCTTAACTAACATTGAGTTTTCTATTTTTACATTTTAGTTACTTTTATAATCATAAATAAAGAATACACATGAAAAACAAGAAATAAAATACTTACCTGGCTTTCTTTTCTTTTTTGCTGACTACTATTGATAATACTCAACCCTACTTTTTTATACTAATGGTAGTAGTATAATAAATGATTTTTATTTAATGAAATAAAGCATCAAAGAGCATAGAATAATAACTTGCAAAAAACAGACAATTACCCATAACTGTTGCAATTTTTCTGGCTTTCTAACTATGTGACAAGAACTGTTACAAATTCATCCAAGCTAGTCGATATGTTTCCCGTTGGAACGAAGCTTGTACTTAAAGAGAAATTGACAATTTTCTCTACAGAAAATGACGTAATATAATACCTTATTTAATAGATGAAAACCTTGGCTTTCTATTCGTTATAAATAATATAGTATTAAATGCTAGAGAGAACTATTAAGAAATCCTGAAAGAGAGGATGTGACAGGTGGGTGTGACTAGAGGGGTCTGATTTTCTATTTGATGGCTCTGTAACCAAATAAGATTGAAGGCTAGAAAAATTATGCTTTGTCTGAGCAATGGCAGTATTATAGTGAGTAATATACATTAAATTTGTACTTATTGGAGGGGTGGTGAATAAAATAGAGAAGAGGGGATGCCTAGAGAAAATTTGTCACATTTCTCACATCAGGGGAAATTCAGGATTTTTTTAAATATTGCCTTATAAAACTAAGAACATAAAACTTATATACGATTAAAATATGGGTTATTATCTTCAATGTTATTCTATACTAATTGGTATAACGTAAAGGAAAAGTAATTTAATTAAGTTTTGAATGTAACTAACTAAAAACCTCATGACATGCACAGCAAAGGATTCCCATGGCAAGAGAGTTAAAACAAAAGTTAAATTCTGTCAGTTTACAGTAATTTTCTTTATGAATGCTTTGTTCTTCCCAAAGTTGTTTGTCTATGAAATTTGCCTTTAGGAAGATCTTAAAATTTCCAAACTGCTGATTATCACCTCATGGTGTGACCTTAGTTTAACATATTTATTATTAAAGTGTAGTTATCACATCACAGTGTTACCTTAGCTTAGCATGTTTAATATTAAAGTGTAGTTATCACATCACAGTGTTACCTTAGTTTAGCATGTTTAATATTAAAGTGTAGTTATCACATCACAGTGTTACCTTAGTTTAGCATGTTTAATATTAAAGTGTGGTTATCATGTCACCGTATTACATTTTGTTAACATGTTTAATACTAAAGTATGGTTATCATGTCACCGTATTACATTTTGTTAACATGTTTAATACTAAAGTATGGTTATCAATTTAAGGTCTTATGTGTTATGTTTAACATGTTAAATATTAAAGCGTGGTTATCACTTCCAGGTCATACTTTGTTATCTTTACTATATGTTGAAATTTGTTGTTCTAGTTCTACTGCCCAGTGAAATATAACTTACTTTGTGTGAAGCAGTTTATTTGGCTGATTTTGAAGTTAATCTTTATTGTCACTGTTTAATAATGAAGTCCAGTGTTTAATTCAGGTGAAAGCAACACTAAACCACCTGTCCACAAAGTTAAACAGCACAGAGAAGACTGTGTCAGGGATGGCTGCCCTCTTGAATTGTCAGGCTATGCATAAAGATTACGTTACTGCTATGGAGGCTACTTGTGTGGATGTCTTGTAAGTTGAACATCCTTAACTGTTCTAATGTTGGAATATATAATGTAAATAAACCCTCTTTCTTAAGAACTGAGATTATTGCAGAGATGCTTTGACATCAAAGTTGTTTATTCTCTAAATGTTTAATCAAGCTGCATAGTGAAAATTATTGTACTAATAAAAAATATTGATCCTCTAAATGTTTCATCAAGATGTATAGTGAAAATTATTGTATTAATAATTTTTCACTATACAGCTTGATTAAACATTTAGAGGATCAATATTTTTTATTATAATGTTAAAAAAGTATTATAAAGTCTCATTATGTTGTTGTCAGGTTCATGTGTCTTATTATTATCTTTATATTCAGCCAGTTTGATTTATATATAAGAAAAAAAGTGAAAAGCAAATGTAACAAATAACTGTTAAAGTCCTAGGTTTCTCAACTTAAAGAGGGAGATTTTTTTATCAAGTTGGATGCAGGATTGCTTAACTCTTTCAGCACAGGCTCGGTCCCTGGGACCGATCTTGTAACCATTTTGTGCTTGTTATAGTTGTCATACTATAACTTTTAAATTAGTAAGCAAATGTTAACGAAATTTATCAGATTATCAGTAAACATTACAATGCTTTCATACACAAAATATCAATTCTTTTTATTAAGTCTTAAGGTCTGTAAAGCAATGTTTTTTTTCATGTCTTTTTTTTCTTTTTGCATGTTACCTGTCTATCATGCAAAGTAATACTCATTTAAGATCAAAAATACTTTTATGCATCAGAAAATTTTGAAATTTCACATATGAAATCTTTATAATGTCCAGATAGTTATCAAATGTTTCTTAAGAAAAAACTATATATTTTATCTGTTATTTTCTGTAATTAATTTCTGTATGGGTTCAGTAGATTTGACTGATCTTGCAACCACCAAAAAAAAACTTGGGAAATAAACATAAATTATGCCTCTTTCATTAAAGAATGATCATAAATTATAACATGAAAACATAAATGTTTAGGCTAAATAGCTTAAATGTCATAACAGTATACATTTATAATATATAGTTATAATTTTTATTGACCTTTCAGCCATGCCTGGCTAACAGTACAGAAGTTACAAAGACGCGGCTCACTTGCACTCATGTTACTGTATTCAATAAAATAAAACTGACCTTTGGTCTGTTCAAAGTAACTTGTATTGGCTTTGTCTTAGTAGACTAGTATTTTGTAAAATACAGTCACATTTCAATTATTATACATTAAAAATGTATATAGATTATTGCTATTTTGAAATAAGTTCTTAAACTTATTTTTCTTTAAACATAGAATAGTAACTAAAGGAGTAAAGCAAACAATTATCTCTTCAAGTTACGACCTTTGTACTCGGTTGCTGCTTAACGTAGGTTGCGAAGCCTTTAAAAAATTTGCACGTGGATGATATGAAACAAAATGTTTTTTTAGGTTTTATATACACATTTAAATAACTAAAAAATCATACATTACTACATTAATACCATAGAATTGCACTATATCAAGCTTAGTAACTAAGCTGTATTTGGGTCTAAAAAAAAGATGAAATTTCAAGCAGACTAAAGACACACCCTACCTCATTGAAATATTGGTTCAAAAGAAAAAAATGGCACCAAGCCTGTTAAAAGGACTGAGAAAGCCACTTGGGGACATTCTGAGCTTCTGATTAGTTCTTAATATCATACATAGAAGTAGGTATATATATATATATAAGGGAATGTTTCCAAAAATGGAAAGAGGTGGGTGGGGTGCCACTGTGTTTGATTTATTACATGAGCAATATCTTAGCAAACTGAAAAGATAAGAGGCTCTTATTTTATATTCAGCTTGTCAGTATCAGTAATTTGAGTTCTAATTCATACGAAACTGTAGACTTAGTATTTTGACTTCATAAACATCTAATTTGAACCAATGCTGCATTTAACATACCACATGACACACAAAAATTGATGTTTATCTGTGTTTTTTTAATATTTGCTTTTAATTAAGAAATTGAGTAATATATAGTACTAAAATTTAAATTATAATCTACAGTTTGATATCAAAGTTATTAACAAAAATTAATGAAATAATAGTTTAATAAAATTTTTAATGCAAGTCAACAAACGAGATGACATGGCCTTTCACCCATGACCCATCTCGAAAGGGTTAATTCCAAAACATTTAACTATAAAATCCAGTTTTTATTTCATAACTTTGTGACACTGTTTTGCAGTACACTTTTAGAATAAATTAGATTTTTAATTTGATTTAATTTGAAGACAAAAAAGCCAAGAAAAAAGTTTCCTGTCTTTGCATGTTGTTTTAAAAGGTACTTGTGAAAAACACATTTTTATGATAAAATAAAACGACAAACAATTTCTTAAAAGAGAACTGAAAAGGTTATTTTATTTCTAGAAAGGGCATGGCCTACATGCTTGTATCAGCTGCAGGAGCAGGTATCTTCTTTACAGTACTTATCTGGGTAGCTTCACACACTTGGATCCACATTCGTAAGAAGTGAGTGAGTAATTAACATTGATTTGTAGATACGTTGTATGCCAAATGTTTACCACTAGGGTTTGTTTGTAAAGAGTTTGCCTGGTTGTCTCACAGTAGTTTTTTTCATAACAGTTTCTGTGGGGTTACTTGAGATATTGTTTTTTTAACAAATGGCAGTGAAGATAAGGTTGTTTTGACCAATGTTTTTGTTAGTTAAGAATGAAGGTAAGCAATGGAAGAAATATTGTTTTCTTAGATGGCATAAAAACAGCTAGAAAACCATAGTTGAGAAATTATGAAATATTAGTTATTAGAGTACAATGTTTTCATGCTGGTAGAAAATCACAAGAGTGACTGATAAACCTTTATTATCAACATGCACAATAGGTTTCTGTAATCTGTATTGCATGTCTATAAAAAGGTTTATTGTCACAAGGTGATTCCTTATATATCAAAGATTAGATCTGGTCACTGGTCAAGATTAGTCAAACAGACAGGAAAAAGTTAAGATTGTCACTTCTCTTATTCTAATGATATTTCTGTGTGTTAATGAAAACCAAAGGTTGCATGAATTATACATTTATGAAAGGTTAAATATTTTCAGTTATTGTTTTACTTCTGTATGATATCAATGATGTCATTCTGCATCCCTTTAAAGTTTCTCACATTTGGGGATTGCTCTTTTCCTTTTTTTTGGGTGGGTGGGTGGTGGCAAACTTTTGGCATTGGTTTCACCATCCAGTACCCTAACATTTCTACCACACTTCTTTCCCTTTCTCATCTATATCTCAAGTCTGAGGCATTTTGTTGTTGTTTCTTGTTCCCTTCCCTTCTCCACTGTGGCCATTCCCTGAAGCTTTATGTAATATTTAGTGAGTTTTAAAAGTAAGTTGATGTATTCACATGCACCTTTAGTATTGTATCGAGTCCAAACTTTAATATTTACAGTAGCTTTATGTGATATTTTGTGAGTTTTAAAAGTAAGTTGATGTATCCACATGTGTCTTTAGTAATGTATCGAATCCAAACTTTAATGTTTACAGTAGCTTTACGTGATATTTGGTGAGTTTTAAAAGTAAGTTGATGTATCCACATGTGCCTTTAGTAATGTATTATGTCCAAACTTTAATGTTTACAGTAGCTTTATGTGATATTTGGTGAGTTTTAAAAGTAAGTTGATGTATCCACATGTGCCTTTAGTAATGTATCGAATCCAAACTAGTAGCTTTATGTGATATTTGGTGAGTTTAAAAGTAAGTTGATGTATCCACATGCACCTTTAGTAATGTATTGAGTCCAAACTTTAATATTTACAGTAGCTTTATGTGATATTTGGTGAGTTTTAAAAGTAAGTTAATGTATCTACATGCACCTTTAGTAATGTATCGAATCCAAACTTTAATGTTTACAGTAGCTTTATGTGATATTTGGTGAGTTTTAAAAGTAAGTTGATGTATCCACATGTGCCTTTATTAATGTATTGAGTCCAAACTTTAATGTTTACAGTAGCTTTATGTGATATTTGTTGAGTTTTAAAAGTAAGTTGATGTATCCACATGTGCCTTTTGTAATTTATCGAATCCAAACTTTAATATTTACAGTAGCTTTATGTGATATTTGGTGAGTTTTAAAAGTAAGTTGATGTATCCACATGCACCTTTAGTAATGTATTGAGTCCAAACTTTAATGTTTACAGTAGCTTTATGTGATATTTGGTGAGTTTTAAAAGTAAGTTGATGTATCCACATGTGCCTTTAGTAATGTATTGAGTCCAAACTTTAATGTTTACAGTAACTTTATGTGATATTTGGTGAGTTTTAAAAGTAAGTTGATGTATCCACATGTGCCTTTAGTAATGTATCGAATCCAAACTTTAATATTTACAGTAGCTTTATGTGATATTTGGTGAGTTTTAAAAGTAAGTTGATGTATCCACATGCACCTTTAGTAATGTATTGAGTCCAAACTTTAATATTTACAGTAGCTTTATGTGATATTTGGTGAGTTTTAAAATAAGTTAATGTATCCACGTGCACCTTTAGTAATGTATCGAGTCCAAACTTTAATGTTTACAGTAGCTTTATGTGATATTTGGTGAGTTAAAGAATGTATGAGGAAATAAAACTCTTAAGATGGTCAGCAGTATTTGATCTTACATTTTCCATACTTTACAGACGAAGAACCAACAATATAGATGAAGAAGATCCTTTCCTTCCACCATCAGCAGTTCACACCAATGCAGGCAGAATTCGAGACACGTATGGCACTATTGGATTATTCTCCTTTTTAGGTCATCATTCTCCAAATCGACATTTTGCTGCTGCTTCAGTGTGAGCATCTGTTCTTTTTGCTTTTCATTCCTGCATGAATTTTATAACTTAGAGAGTTTTTAATTTTCTATAGTTTTTGTTTATTATCTATATACTACTAAAACTCTGAGATTGTTTGTTTATCCGTAATTAAATACAGCAAAAACAGTGCACAATAGCGCCATATTTGTAATGAAATGAGAATAGAAACAGAATAAAACAAGTTTCGTTAAAATTGGGACACGGATTATCGAGGTAGCGCTGTTTTTCAGGTCACTTTTTGTACATTCCATTATTATAAAACTTTGTTTTCCACCTGATGAATCACTTTAAAATATCTTCTGTACAACAATATATGCACAACAGAAATTAAATGATGAGATGAAAATGTGTTATAACGGCACGTAGAAAGAACAACAATAAAATGGACCTACAATATTATTGACTATTTGCAAATAGTAACTATGGAGACAAGGTAATAAAAATCTAGTTGAGAACAACAACAAAATTTTATAAATGAAAACCTTTCACCGAGCATTGGCTATTATATTATTTCCCTGTCAATGTTCCCATCTTCATTAAATAGAGTAAGGTAGTTTATGGCCTGATCAAACATAAGCTGCTGTATTTTAACAATAGTTTATGGCCTGATCAAACATAAGCTGCTGTATTTTAACAATAGTTTATGGCCTGATCAAACATAAGCTGCTGTATTTTAACAATAGTTTATGGCCTGATGAAACACAAACTGTTTGTATTTTAACAATAGTTTGTGGCCTGATCAAACACAAGCTGTTGTATTTTAACGATAGTTTGTGGCCTGATTAAACACAAGCTGCTGTATTTTAACAATAGTTTATGGCCTGATCAAACATAAGCTGCTGTATTTTAACAATAGTTTATGGCCTGATCAAACATAAGCTGCTGTATTTTAACAATAGTTTATGGCCTGATGAAACATAAGCTGCTGTATTTTAACAATAGTTTATGGCCTGATCATTAAAGTATACACACAAAAGTATACACATTACTAAATACCCTATAGGTACATTGAGTATATATTTAGTTAGTACAAACGAAAACACATTACTAAATACCCTATAGGTAAATTGGGTTTATACTTTGTTGATAGAAAAGTATACACATTACTAAATACCCTATAGGTACATTGGGTTTATACTTTGTTGATAGAAAAGTATACACATTACTAAATACCCTATAGGTACATTGAGTATATATTTAGTTAGTACAAACGAAAACACATTGCTAAATATCCTGTGGTGTACATTGGGTTTATACTTAGTTGATAGAAAGGGAAACAGATTACTAAACACTGTTTAAGTACATTGACCTTGCACATTGTTGGTAGAAACATTTGTTTACTACAGGAAACAGTCAATTATTTAAATAATACTTTCCGTTCAACAATAAGCTTTCCTACTTAATATGTCAAATGCATGCTATAGATTCAATTAGAATTTATTATTTAAACCATTTGAAGCTTTGTACCATCAGTTAAAGTTTTTGTTTTAGTAAAATACACTTGAAGAAGCTATAAAGTGAAATTTTGAGTGTCCAATAACAAATTAGGTGTTATAAGGCCATTTACTACTAGTAATAAAGTGTCATCTATACACCAATCAATATGCACTTCAGAAATTAAATAAAATTCCATATTGTTTTATCATCTCATAATAAAGTTTTTAATGTCAATTCATAGGCTGAAGCTAGAATAGTAATTAAAATTATAAATCTGAGGAAAGGTTGTTTTATAAACAACGTGTTTGTATTAATATTTTCTTTGTTAGGAATTCCCATTCATCGGATCAAGCTTTTCTTCCTGGGCGGTATACACCCCCACCTTCTGTAAGTAAAGTACAAGTCCAAATTCTTAAATTGATGTTGATAAATTGTATGTAGTATCTCAACTGGTATCTCGAGATAGGTTTGTAGGAAACTATGTGTCTTATTTCTCAACAATTGTAGATAAGAACCCAATTATGTTGTGCTATCTCTCTGCTGTGTGTGTAGATAGCAGTATAAGAATCTAGTTATGTTGTGTTATCTCTCTGCTACGTGTGTGGATAGCAGTACAAGAATCTAGTTATATTGTGTAATTGCTCCACTATGTGTGTGGATAGCAGTACAAGAATCTAGTTATGTTGTGTT